CTTGAGCCCTTCACCCACCATGAAGCTCTGGGTCTGTCTTTGGCTGTTGGGTCCAGGCCGTCCCAAGTCCTGTTTCTTTTGCTTGGAGGCCCAGCAACTGTGAGTAAAGCAGGAGGCTTGTCTCCAAGATCATTATTGTATAACAATATATAGGAGTGGTAGTGAAAAGAGCTTGGACAAAACCTCCATTAAAACCCATCTTGTACCATTTCATCAGCTCTTGGTCCACAGAGACCATGTATCGTGTACACAGCTCATCTCCATTATAATGACAGATAAGCTGAGGCCCAGCCACTGGGCCATGTCATGGTTTGCTTTTGAAATTCCTTTTCCTGTTTTCCAGAAGCAGCCCCACCACTGAACACCTTCTCTCTCTGGGAGTTACGCAGAATGCTATGGGGCAAAGGGAGCCTGGGCAGGGGGCTCTGGTGAGGCAGGTCCCTGAGTGCAAGGCACATAAAAGGTTGAGAGGATCCGGAAGAGGGGGACAACCACCCCAGGGGCCCTCAGGCCCAGACTCACTTGGACTTGTTGATGGCTCTCTTGAGTTTCTTCTCCAGCTGCCGCATGCGGCCCATGGCCGCATTGTACCTGGCTGCCGTCTCTTTGTGCACCAGCTCGCTCCTTGTCTTGGTTTGCTCCGCCTCCATGACCTTCAAATGACAGCAGAGGTCAGCCCACCGAGCCTAGAACAGTTCCTTGTTGGGGTATTACTCATGTAACTTTTTAAAAATAGTCTTTGAGGCAGTTAGCGGGCAGACTAAGATTACACTAACTTCCAAATAGAATAGTCTTAGCAGGCAGGACTAAACAGCCAAATTGGCTGTGGGAATGACCAGGAAAGAAAAAAAGGAAAAGCAAAAGTCAGAGAAAAATATGAAGCATTCTCTGATTTGATAGATATCCAGTTCCTTCTGCTCAGGCCTCCGGGCTCTGAGCAGCCACCTCGGGCTCCTCTCCTCCTGCTCCCGCCTTGGGGGAGGGGCTGATGGGCAGGCAAATGGGCCAACAGCACCAGAAGGAACTTAGACATCAAGGAAGTGGGAGACCTAGCAAAACCAGGCACGACAGCATCAGGACAAGACCGTCAGAACGTCAGCTGCTTGGCCCCTGAATTAGATGGTGGACACAGAAGAATCCAGGATCCAGAAGGGTCAAACTTCACAATTAAATTAGTATCAAATCATTTACATCTGATTTTGAGGTTCACAGAAATTTTTAACCAGGAGACCAGTCAGCACTCTGGCAGGAAATTCTGGTGGGAACATTTTATTAAGCCTGTTGATAAAAATGAGTTTAAAGACCAACTATCAAGAGCCCTCAATAGGCAAAGATATGTCAGCTCAAAGGTGCATTCCCTGACACGTGACAATGTGGGTTCTCCCCTCTTAACTAAAGAAAATTATCAGAATGAGGTCTCCCTGGGGCCGAGTTATGAAGGGAATAAAAGCCGGTCCGGGCCAGGAAAACGTCTATAATTTTTTTAACCTTCTTCTTAAATTCAAACAAAGGGTTGTGAATGGACTTGGAGGGAGGAATGGAGCTTAGAGGGCAGTCCTTGTTTTTCCCGAAAGGGATTAAAGAAGAACCCAAAGGGCCTTCAAGTTGTTGGTCCTTTCTCTCAGACCCAGCAGGACAATAATTAGAGGAAGGCACCACTGTACCTTTAACTAGGTTTAAGCCCACCGCAGGAGGCCGCTGATATTCTATCACCCACTCCGGTCAACGGCCACAGTCAGCCCTGGGGTTAGTATATGCACTTCCTTACAATAAGGATTTCTTTAAGTATCAGGAAAAACTATGAAAGCCTTTGAAATGAGCATAAAAAATTACTGGGTCCTGTCTAGCATACCCTTCCAGGTTCTCTCTGGCTTTCATTGTCCTGGAGCTATTTAACAACCCTCTAAGTTATAGAAAACTGATAGCGATATAATACAAATGATTCTTATCCCTAGAAATGAAGATGGATTGTGTCCCAGTGGAGATGCACTTGATTATTGATTGCCTTGTAAATACTGATCAATTTTGCATCTGTCTATAAATTCATTTCAGCATCCCTGGTTTTCTACATGAGTGGGTTTTTGGTTTTTTTTAATTCTCCTTGGAAATAGTTGTAACATCTTATTCCCTCCTTAATAAATTAAATCTCCGCTATGAAGGCATTTTATATTTGTGAGAGTTAGTGCTTTTACCTTCTTTAAAATATATATCTTTTAATAAAGGTGTCAATGCTTGAGATACTTTTTAAAACAATAGAATGAAAACAAAACCAGAGAAGGGAAAGAGGAGGGAACTGAGTGCAGCTGGCATGCGGTGACACGCTCGCTAAAATGACTTCTCAACCAAGACCAAAGGGCTAGGAGAATCCCTTTGCTTCTAATACCAAAGAGTTCACAAAGCAATGAAATGCACTAAAGACATCCCCGGCCTGGGCACAGTCTTGTCTTAAATGTTAGGCTCTGAGGATTTACTGGTGTAACCTTTATGAAAAATCAAAACCCCAAGCTTATCAAACAGATGAAGACAACATATTGAGGATGAGCTGTTCCATTACAAAAAGATTCAATGCAGGGTTCCCATTTAAGGAGCTGTTTGAAAGTATTTTAAATAGACTGACTGAGAAAGGCTGTGATTTGAGGCTACTATACAGATAGGGTCCCCCTGTAAGAAGCAGCGTTCTCACCAGCTGCACAGGGGCCCTCATCTGTCTCAGTCCCTAGTCTGCAAAAAGCAGGGAAGGCTTTCCAAAATTAAACACTTAAAAATTCTCCAAGCACTTAGTAACATTGCCAGTGAAGACTGAGGCGGTGGTGAGCCTGTTGCTGTCCCCTGCCTCACCCCCATCAGGCCACGTTTACCATGTCCTGTGTCAATCTCCCCTGCCCTACAGACACACAGCCTCCGGGTCTTGGAGAAAACTCTTCTCCCTAAC